ACGCATTGTGCGCTGCTATCTACAGTTATGTATGCATTGTTTTTGTTGCTGTTGTTGTTGGCATTGTACGCGTAATTGATGCATCCAACACGGCTTATTTGTATGTGTGTGTGTGTTTATGTACGTCACTTGTATATAATATACGGATGCATGCAACAGACAGTCGACGTGGAAAACAATAAAAGCCAATATAGTTGCAGCGCTGCGTTAGTGATTTTATTATTGTTGTTTGCTTTTTCTTTGGTGGGGTTGAGGGCGACGCGCGCGGTTGTGAGACAGTAAAAGCGCTAGCGCGACGACACAGTTTGATATTTCAGCTGATTTTTGCGTCTGTATATGCAAATTATGAAGTGGCAGGAAGGTCACTGTAAGGTCAACAACAGTAGCAGCGCTTATGCCAGGAGAACTTAAATATTTTTATGTTTCAACAAATAGTAGCGCGCTTTTGCAGCAGTTTGCGGGTTGAAAAACTTTAAATTTTCTTTTATTTCTCTCGCGTTTGCCCTTAATACATGTAGCTATATAAGTGCGGCACAAGCGCGCGCTGTACCGTTGAAATATTGAATATTGGAATTTACTGCAAATTACTAAGCGCTAATTTAAAGCATAACTATTTCTGTGCTTGCCAACAGGAAGCGCTTGAAAATGCGCTGAAATTTTCCAAGCATATCCATAACGCCCAGCATACCGCCACATAGCAGCACGCATTAAATCTTAAATACTACACATTTTTTATAGCAACAACTATTAGATACTCCGCTTAATGCTGCTCGATAATCAACGTCAACATGCTACGCCGTCGACTGCGTTGAACACGCGCACACAAACACGCACACACACATCACGCACACTGGCAAGCGCGCACGCTACCAATTCACATTTACACAAACGCGCGCACGAAATGTGGCAACAGTGTTTGCTATAATTCAGAACAACCAATACGCGTTGAATTTTATAGCGCGCCACGACACGATACGCTGTCGACATACCAACACAAAAAAAAAAACAACGCTGCAGCGTTGCAACCACACACCACATAGCGGCGTGCGTGTGAGTAGCGGCGGTGGTGGCAAACAATCGATTGCGAAGCCGGCATATTTGTATATGCCACCTAAAGTACGTGTACGCTGTCACTAACAGTGGCGGCGAACAGCCGCAAAGACATTAAGCACGTCGACGTTCAGTCTGCCGCTTACACAGCACCCGCTCAAACGCGCTTACATGCCACAAATGCTAGAGCGGTTCAGCCAACGCAGCGCGCAGTGTAACTCCAATAATATCATGCCTCGTGTGCGCACAGTAAAGCAGTAGTACGCCGTGTGCCATAACCCCACCCCACCATGGCGCGCTAGCATAGCGATTGGTTAGCACGCGAAAGTGGCAAGCTCTGCTATCGCATGTTGCTGCGCATAATCCAACCCACTAGCTGACAAACTGACATAAGGCTATGTAAGTGGCGTCGTGTAACGTTCGCGTCAGTCACTCCACACTGCCACGGCAATTTGATTTATATGCCTTGCGTTGCGCTGCGCGTATAAGTATGTAGAGCGTGCTATCTTATATAAAGTGTGTGTGCGCGTTTGTGCGGCGAAGAGCGCGCATACACATTACTACGTTTTGGCCTACTCATATGTAGCTATCTCTCGCGCACTCAAGCGCGCGCTACTTAGTAGCAAGTGTTGTACTTATAAGCGCGCTCTTTCTTCTTACTCTTCTACGTGCCTACAACAAGTTTGAGCGTGATAGCACGCTTGCACACGGCGCTGAGGGTAGTTAGCGCTTGCTCAGCGCACAGCCAAGTCAACATGAGCCAGTGGTCCGTTGTTTAATGCTATAACTACCACTAACATTGTGACAAACACACGCAGAAGCACGAGAGTCACGAACGCGGAGAGTTAACTAACGTCGTGTCTGCTCAACTTCGTGTATTATTCGTTCGCGTACACGAGCGACAAGACAACATACTGTAGCATAGCAGCAGCAGCAGCGCTCTAGCCAGCTAGCACCTCGAACAGGTTTCATGCTCGTCGAACGAAAACAGAAAGGTGCTCAATTCAGTGCAGTGTGGAGGTATTCGCGTGTTGACGTATCGCGGAAATTGTAAAAATTTATTTGACAAACTTTTCAATGTCTCTGCATGTAGTGTAGTAGGCACAATAATTGAAAAGGCAAAGTGTTGTAGACTCGAGCAGACAAAAAAGCATAATATTTATATAGAAATAAAAAGACTTTGGTAACGCAACGACGTCTCGTCGTGTGACTCAACGTGTAACAAAAAAAAAAACAATTATATTGTTTTTAAGAAAGCGTAAAATAACGCATGTAATGCCGGAAACCGAAAGTGAACTTTATGAAAAAATCCAAAAATTGTGTTTTTCAAATATACAAAAAAAATTTTATTTTTTAAAGTGAAATTGTGCATTAGCAGCCGCTTAAGTCTTAGTTGGATACTTGTGTTGATTGACTAAATAATTTTGGTGATTTTCAATAATCAGAATTTGCACAAAAACGCATAAGCATTACGGCACTCAAAGACGACGGGCGAAAGCAAATAAAAAGGCTACTTCAGAGCGTAGTGCGGTGAAGGTGACGCGCGAAAGAGCATAGTTAAAGCGAAGTGCTACCTGTGCAAGTAACGGTGCAAAAGAAACAGTGTTTGGGAAAATTAAAAATTGCGGAAAGCGAACAAAAATTTGCGAAAAGCGAGCAAAAATTTTCTAAAATAGCGAGCATAAAAGTGGTTTGCTTAGAAAGCGCTACCAAAATTCATACAAATATAAGGCGCTTAGGCTTACATAAAAAGTTTACTACTAAAGAAAAGGTTAAAAATTTGTGAAAAAAATAATTGACAAGCGTGTTTGAAGTGACGCAGCATAAGCGCAGCCTCATTGCCAATAAACTACAACAACACAAACAGTCATTACACAAACACAGGTAGACACAGCAAGAGCGCAAAAAAAAAAATATATATATATAGAAAAATACCAATTTTTTTGACGCACAAAAAATGGTTTCAAAACAGTGCAAACTAAACACCACCAACTCACTAATTTACTTCGAAGTGTAACAAATATGAGCGCTTAACTAGCAAACAATATTAGAAGAAAAATTTAAGAAAAAAATCAAAGGCGCAAAGCCAAAAGCAACATTTAGCGCACGAAACGCTAAGCAAACAAACTAATTTTCGCCAGCAAGACAAGCGTTAGCAACGCAACAATAATTATAATAATAATTACAATAAATCACATAAGACACACGACAACAACAACAACGCCGCCGTGTACGCTATACCGCCACAACAACCAGCAACACACAACATGTTGACCATGGAATCGGATATGAAAGGCGGCATCTTGCATGCCACCATGCCGCCGCATCACGCGTCCGCCGCTTTGCATGGACATGCCACGTCGCCGTATAGCGCGCTCGGACCGCTCATGAATCTGGGACAATCGCACTTGACACAATCGCATTTGAGTCAGCACCATCATCATCATATGGCCACACATTTGGCCAGCAGCGGTGGACAACAACAAAGCGCGCTGCTGGGCAATGGTGGTGGCGGTGGTGTACTCTCCAGCAATCCGCTGAGTTCATTGCAGACCAGCATGGCAAATACGCTGAATGGCAGCGCCAGTTTGCAACAGCAGCAACAACAACAACAACAGCAGCAGCAACATGGTTCACCATTGCACAGCGCTAGCGACTTGAGTCCCACACAATCGAGCATCGGTAGTCATCATATGACATCGCCAGGTGGACAACAGCAGCAACAACAGCAGCAACAGCAACATCATGGCGTGCATCATCACAGCGGTATGGGTGGTGGCGCCTCTATTGGCGGCGGACAAAATACGAACGTACCCACGGTTATTGGTGGCGGTAGTCACAATGTGAATAACAATAACGTGTCGACCACGAATAAGAATCAAGCGAATGCGGAGCGCGTTAAGCGTCCCATGAATGCGTTTATGGTGTGGTCGCGCGGACAGCGCCGCAAAATGGCCTCCGACAATCCGAAAATGCACAACTCAGAGATTTCGAAACGTTTGGGCGCACAGTGGAAGGACCTGTCCGAGGCGGAGAAGCGTCCATTCATCGACGAGGCGAAACGTTTGCGCGCAGTGCATATGAAGGAGCATCCAGATTACAAGTATCGGCCACGACGCAAGACAAAGACACTTACCAAATCGAAGGAGAAGTATCCAATGGGCGTCGGCTCATTGCTGCAGCCAAGCGAACCGAATACGCCTAACGCGGCGCGCAATACAAGCGCCAGCTCGATGGCAGCCGCACAACAGGCTGCCGCCGTCAATCGTGATATGTATCAGATGAGCGCACCCAACGGTTATATGCCGAACGGTTATATGATGCATGATCCTTCAGCCGCCGCATACCAAAGTCAGCACAGCGCCTATATGGGCAACTATCATCGCTACGATATGGGACAAATGCATCAGGCGGCCGCTGCTGCGGGCTCACTCAACTACATGAATCCGGCGGCGAGTGGCGGTTACGGCATGTACGGCACTGTGTCGGGTGGACAAACCTCACCGTATGCCAGCATACAGCAGCCCGGTTCACCCTATAGCAATGTACAACAACAGCCTGGCTCACCGTATGGCCTTACAGGCGGTCAACCGGGTTCCCAAGTCTCCTGCCAAAGTCACAGTCCGAGCGATTCGAGCATCAAATCCGAACCGGTCTCACCCAGCCCACTACATAGTCAAGCGCAACAAAATTCCGCCGCTGTGCTCGCCGCCAACAACAATAACAATCATATAATGAAACGTGAATATGGCGCGACGCAGCAAACGACCGATTTGAATCATTTGATGAACATGTATCATTTACCCGATGGCATGCAGGCATCAGCCGCCGCCGCCGCAGCCGCTGCGGAACATCAACGCAATCTGATGCATTATCAAAATAGTTCGCCGGACTTGCAGCAACAGCATGCGCAACATCAGCAATCGATGCACGCGATGGCGCCACTCGCTCACATGTGAGAAATGGCCGGTGCTTATGGTCAGTCAGCGCTCACAATCGCCACAATTGCATCCACTAATGCCTCCGACGTCGTTGCCGCCAGGGCCGGCGCCACCGCTAATGCCATTGCCACCAACGCCGGCACAACCGTAACGGATATGACGAGCGCGTTAGAGCAACATCATGGCATGGCCTCCACATCCACATCGCCTACCACCCCGCCCACAACATTGCTGCAACATACGCAGCAGCAACTAACGCACGCGCACGCACAATTGCAGCTAGCGCAGCAGCATCACCAACAGCTGCAGCAACAACAACAACAATTGCAGCTGACATCGCAATTGGAGCTGGAGCCGCCAGCGTCCGCAAGCGCTGCCAGCTTGTTGCACGCAGAACACAACGGTGGTGGCGGTAATTTGCACAACGGCTTGCATGGCCAATCGCTAGACGGCGTCGGCGGCAATAGCAGCAGCAGCTCTAGCAACAACAACAACGGCGGCAGTGGTGGCGTCAGCATGCTGCACAGCTATGTGAACGGCATGCATGGCGGCCGCCCCAGCCCGACGGCTTCAGGTTCTTCCGGCGGCAGCCGCTCGTCGGCGCATTCACTGCCGTTGCCCGCGCACTCACCGGCGCTGCAGCATCAAGTGAACGGCGCTTATCTGCAGGCGGCGAGCTGTGGTTCAGCGCTCACCGCCACCGCCACCACAATTGTGTCGCCCGCGCTGATGGGTCGAATGGGCGGCAGTCATGGCGATGTGATCGGCGGCGGCGGCGGCGGTAGCGATGGCCTGGGCGTTGGCGGCCCTTTGGCGCTGCTGCACCATCACCACCAGCACCATCACCATTTGGCGCCGCATCATCATCATCACCACCACCATCCCCACCACAGCATAACGCATCAGCTGCACCATCCGCACGACGCAGCCGCTGGACTGTTGGATATATCCACACTGTAAATTAACTACAAATTACACAAGTACATTTAGCCGAGTAATTAAGAGAAATCATAATAATTACAAATAAAATTAAACAAGTTTTAGCTGTAGTTGTAAAGTGCATAAAAATAATTATTATAAATAAATTAATTTAAATTTAAAAAATAGAAACAGAAAAAATCGCAAAAATATGTCAAGTAATTTTATGCGCAAAAAGTTGAAAAATGCAAAAAAAAAATTAATTAAATTAAGCAGATTAATTATGCAAGTTGAGCGCGCGCAGTGGCGCGGCGTGCAACTTCAAGTAAAATACACTGTAAAAAAAATTAACTGACTAATGGCGCCGCGTTGTGGCGCGCTACACGCCCTCAAGTACTTTTTAAGCACCGCCAAATATTAAAACAACAAAAAATAATTGCAAAAAGATAGAAATTAGTTTAAACAAATTACAAAAACAACATGTTAACGTTTAAGTAGCGAACTATGACCGCGTTGAGGCGCGCGTGCAGCGTCTAGCATACCGCATGCAACAAAATGCGTAAAAAAGCAGCAACAACAAGACACATTCCCGATTTTTTGCAATGCGAAAACTTCATGAATTTCGAATTTGTAATTTTACGGCAAGCTTTTTATAAGTGCGCACTTTTTGTCCACACTTCAAGTTGATAATCATGTAATTAAGTGCATACAAACATACACACAACAACACATACATATATACAAATATTTATGTTAAGTTTATTTCTCGTTTTTAGTTACATACATATATAATAATAATAATGAAAATGCGTCAAGTGTGATAGAGAATTGAGAGTTTTAGCTAAATAAGGAATGGTAAAAACAAAAATTAAATTAAATAAAAAAAAAAACGCAGAAAAACATTTAATAAAACGTTGTAATTAAGAATAAAAACAAAAACAAATTGTGTTTTCATGCCAAGTGCAACGGAAAAAGTGACATTTGGAGCGTGCGTTTCAAACGAACGTTTGATCGTTGGGTAAATCGTATATTTAATTGGGTGTTAATTGGTTAGAAAACTTATTCGTTTTTAATTAATTAAAAATAATTCATTATTTAATTGGAAATTAATTAAAATTTTTTTTTATTAATYATCGAGTTATTATTTTTAATTAATTTGAAAATTAAATTTTGTTGGCTAAATGAAATATTGAACTGTTTTTAATTAATTAGGGAGAAAAATTATTTTCTTTTAATTAATTAAAAATAATTTTTTCTTTTTTAAATTAAATAATAGATAATTTTTCATTAATTAGAGAGTAATTATTTATAATCAACTTGAACTAATTAGTTAGAAAACTTATTAACTTAACTAATTTTTTTTTATTAATTATCGAGTTATTATTTTTAATTAATTTGAAAATTAAATTTTGTTGGCTAAATTAAATATTGAACTGTTTTTAATTAATTAGTGAGAAAAATTATTTTCTGTTAATTAATTAAAAATAATTTCTGTTAATTAATTAAAAATAATTTTTTTTTTAAATTAAATAATAGATAATTTTTCATTAATTAGAGAGTAATTATTTATAATCAACTTGAACTAATTAGTTAGAAAACTTATTAACTTAACTAATTTTTTTTTATTAATTATCGAGTTATTACTTTTAATTAATTTGAAAATTAAATTTTGTTGTTTTGTTGAAATATTGAACTGTTTTTACTTAATAGTGCGAAAAATTATTTTCTGTTAATTAATTAAAAATAATTTCTGTTAATTAATTAAAAATAATTCTTTCTTTTTTAAATTAAATAATAGATAATTTTTCATTAATTAGAGAGTAATTATTTATAATCAGCTTGAAAATTAATTTCTTTTAATTATTTTGTAAATTATTATTCTTTAGTTAATTAGAAGTAAAATTAATGAAATAATTTAAAAATTATGAGTATTTGATTTGTTGCTTTGCGAAATTAATAATAATTATTGCATAATTAATTTTGGTTTCCTTTTGCATTTTTTTAACGTAGTTTTCAGAGTGTTATAGTACAAGTGTTTGGAAAGCGCATCTAGTGACTTAAGTTTTTCTGTTTAGCTTTCTGCAATAAAATTGTTAATGCCCATTTTTTAATGTAAAAATTCGAAATTTATATCTTATTTGCCAATATTATAGAAAAATGCATATCTGCTAATTAATAAAATTCTACAAAGTTCTAAACTCAATTTTCCAACATTTCAAAAGGAGTTAAAATTCAGTTAAATTACAGACAAATAACCTAAAATTTTTCAAAAATTCAAAATTATTCAAAACTAGAGTTTAAAGCAAGAATAACTTTACAATTTCGAGCTATATGGTATATAACATATAAAAATATTGTGTAGTCAAAAAAGTCTCTTCGTATTTTTAAAATAAATGTCTTTGCAGTCGTATATCTTCAGTGTTACTAACTACATTGTGTTATACCATATATTGTTGGAAAATCTGACCTTTCTATTTAACAAAAAAAAAAATTTAATTCGAGGAAGTTGAAATCAGGTCATAGCTGCTCTAAAATGAGTGAAAATAACGCAGACATTCGCTATATTTTGAAATTTTTGTATAAAAAGGGAAGAATACCACGCAAGCCATCAATGAAATTTGTGAAGTTTACGGAAACGATGCTGTCTCTGTTCTTGTTCTTGTGGCACAACAATGGTTCACTCGATTTCGTTCTGAAAATTTAAAAAATTCGATTTACACCGATGGAATAATGTCGCTAGCGGAATAATGCCAACAATTATTCGACCAAAATAGTACATATTTGTTTATTTATTTCTTGGTATAAATGTACAAAAAATAAGTTGAAGTTTGATTTCTGACTTTTTCGATCACCTTATGTAGATCTATAATTGAATTCATGTCATTATTTTTCAATTTAGTTAGCAACTAATGAAATTCGCGTCAGCTTTAAAGAAAATTTCGAGTTATGTGGATAAGTTTCTAGGTAAACCTTAAGATTTGAGCATGATTTTCCATGGTATTCTGTTGCAAGTAATTTCGTTTGTAAAAGAATCAAATCGAATTATTTTTATGGGATTTTTTTTTTACAGAAGGAGAAAATTGCGAAGCTTTTTTCAATAAATTTAATGTGATCAATTATTTTAAAATAAAATGCAACAAAAATTGTTGAAAAGTTTTATAAGCACGCAAACATTAAGAACTTATGGCATCCGTGCGAAAAAATTCGTTCATAATAATTTCGGACCTAGAAAACGACCGGAATTGTGAAATAACAACTCATGGATTTTTTAATATGATAATACACCAACGCAACGAAAACGTAATGAATACCATCGGTCAACCATTCACCAGATTTCGCTCCCTATGATTTTTCCTTATTCCCCAAACTGATACTGCCACTCCGTGGAACCGAATGCCAACTCAAAAGTGCTTGTGGAGAGTGTTTTCGTTGGCATAAGTGTATTCTAACTGGTGGCGAGTACTTTGAAAGCGACAAAATAAATATTGATGAATAATTAAATATTTTGCGTATTATAATATTTACATTTTCCCAGTACATTTTTGTCACATTGAAAGCAAATGAGAATGAATAAAATTATAAGAAAAATAGGAAAACTAAACGCGGAGTAACTTCATACTTGGGGAGAGTTTTTCGAGATATCTTCCAGGAAAGTGAAAAAAGTTAACGATTTTTCACACATTCCAATTTGTATAGAAATCGATATGCGTAAAGAAAAAAACTAAAAAAATTATAGTTCATGGAACGGAAAGTCAACGCATTAAAAAACTGCTGGACATAAATGTATAAATAATACATAAAAAATACGACCCAGTTAGCAACAAACTCTCTTAGACCTTTTCAAAACAATGCTAATTAGTCAAAGCTTCCGTGAAGCTCTGAAAAAATTTGCTAATTGAGTCAAATTGTAGACAACTTTTTAAAAAGCTGTTTAAGGGCAATTTGCGCGATCACTTTAGAAGGCTGTAACTCAGAAACTATTTGAAATACCGATTTAAAATTTTAGTATGGTATTCTTGCAGGTATAAGCTATCGAAACATGGTTTTAGAAAATTTCAATTTCACATTTAGTTTAATTCGATTTGTAAGCAAAAATAAAGATTGTATAAAAAATATTCCAATCAAATCCCACAATGTCACTTAAAAAGCAAAATAACGGAACACCACTTTTTCACGGGAAAAGCGATATAATAGAAACCACTCATATTGAAAAAAATTTGAGTTTTGGCATAAAATTTGCAGTCAGTTATAAGACATATATATCAAATATTTAACTAATATATAACCATTTTATAACCAAAACTCAAATTTTGGTTTCTATTAAATCGTTCTCTTTCGCCCGAAAACTTATTAAAAATGATGTTACGTTATTTTGTATTTCAGGTGACGATATGTATGGATGTGCGCGCGCTGTCTGAAAATAACTAAGAAAAATTAATTTAAAATTTGCAAATATTATTAAAAATTTAATTATTAAGCAATAATATAGAAAATTAAAAAATAAGTAGTATTACTACTAATTTAGAGAGCTAAACAAATATTCAAAGCCCTAATTACAATAAAAATATAGTACACATACATATATATGAATAAGAAATTAAGCTNGTACATTTAGCCGAGTAATTAAGAGAAATCATAATAATTACAAATAAAATTAAACAAGTTTTAGCTGTAGTTGTAAAGTGCATAAAAATAATTATCTAGATGTGTATAAGAGACAGATATAATATTATTAAAATGATGATAATATAAAAATAAAATAACAAAATGTTTACACAAAAATAAAATAAAATATATATATGTATTATTTATGGTGAATTTGGGATTTTTTTTTAAAATGATGCGAAGAAAAATTTCGTATAAAAATTTTGTGTGTTTGCCGACGGCATTAGACGACGACTATCGTTTGTATTTTCATTCGAAATTCCAATTAGCGATAACAGGTTGGGTGGCATTATAATTTATTATATGCTTTCTTCATATTTGTTGGCATTTAGCTTGCCTTCAATGTGATGTTTTTTGGTTAACCAGAGGATACTTGCTCTTAGATCGGAAGTTGTGAGCTGCTTGAGCTTGTAAAAGTATCATTTCTGGCCACTCCTAAGTGAAAGGCGATCAGAGAACTTTCCTCACTGGCGTGAACTTCTAACAATGCTATCTTAAAATATATAAACTGAAAGCCAAAGGATGATGATATTAAACATTTCCCATTAAATTTGAAGTTAACGCGTTTTTTCTTAAAAAAAAAGTCGAAATGGATGGTGATCCATTTATACTTCATATAGTATCCTACTACTACTAATAAGCTGCGCGTATGACAGTTGAAAGCATACAAAGCAAACAATGAAAATGTGAACTAAGAAGGTTTGACTTTCGGCAGTGATGGAACTTTCAGTACTTATCAGGATTGCTTAAGGCCTGGAAAATCTATTAGGTTGTCAAAAAAGTCTTGCAGTATTTCTTGCAGTATTTTTATTGAATTTTCAATTGTTCATAAAATTTTTTTTGATGACTCATGCCCAGCTCTTGACCGATGCTACGACTGCTGCTATGCCGGTCTCTTTCGACCAATTCAGCGATTTTAGCGCAATTTTCGACGACAGGCCTTCCGGAGCGTGGCGCATCTTCGACCACCCTACACCAGAACGAAAACGTTGAAACTATCGTTGTGCGGTGGAAATGGAAACTGTATCGGGTCCATAAACTGCACAAATTTTATTGGCGGCTTGAGATGCATTTTTGCCTTTATCGTAGTAGCACTGTAAAATCTGTCAAATATTCATTTCGGGTAAAGAATTCAATTTAATCGCGAATATTATTTTGTTACTACTTTCGCTGTGGCTTGACTCA